TCGCAGGAAGGAGACAATTATAGGTTCACTCTCTTCAAAACTAACCTCCGCCACACAAATCGTCATCAAAAGATTGATCTGTCGGCTTATCCATGGCGTCAATGGATTCTCCGACATGACTCCATCGGAATTTCGAAAGCATCTCGGATTAAGATCTCAATTCCATCTCATGTTTAGGTGTTGAAGATTTTTTGTTGCAAATTCATCGCAAGGTAACGTTTATAGTCCTCATCTTCTCATTCATGTTTATAGCCCTCAACTCCTCAATCTCTTTGAAGAATCGTTGGTTCATGAGTGATAACAACTATTTAGTTGCTTTGCAGGAGTGGCAACCCAGGGTTTCAACTCGATTGCTTTTCAGGTGCATTTCTAGATCAGAACGACCTTCTTTTCAAACCCCAGCTCGTACTGTACTTCTTTTGTTGATTAACTTATAGTTTTGATTCAGATCTCGGAATTGGTTGACATTTCTTGAATTTGTAGTTAATTGGTTGTTATGTCGTATATGTTCTTCGCGATCGGTTAAATTGGTGAACTTGTTCTGCATGTTACCTAGCATTGAATGAAAATTAAGTAACTTTTTAAGTCTGCTTTCTTTTTTTATGGCTCAAACTTATTTAGTTGCTCTTTTTGCTAAATCTAATTAACCAATTGTAACTGGAAATGCGTAGATTCCTTTTTTATTTGTTCGGTAGTGTGATATGTATAGGAGAAGCAAGTATTTAAATTTCATCTTGTTGACGTGACGATATCGTGTTATTTCAAACACCAATGAAATTGGATTCAAACAGTGGCCCTTTTGGGATGATTAAATTCAAATTTCAAGTCAATATATGTAAGAATGATGTTATTCACATTTCATAGTTTTGGTTGTGTTTTATGTTTCATTTCCTTTAGCTTCATTGAGAGTTTGTTTTTGGGATAATGAAGAGAATTTAGAGCTGTAACATTTCTATTAGTCAATGATAGGGAAGTCTCCTGGAAAGTGGATTAAGACTGTGTTTTTTTTGGGAAAAAGTCATCAAAATCTAATCTTTCAAAAGTATGAAAAAGGTTACTTTTTGTACATCACTTGTCTGTTCTCTTAGTATGTGATCCCGATGTCGTCTAATTCTTGTAGGATGCTACTTTAGAAATAACAGTATCCATCACTGGTAAAACACCATCAAACAATTTTGGTGCTGATTCAATGATCATCTCAAGTCCAGTGTGCCCTGTAACTGATTCAAGAGATCATACAGAACTTGAAAAGACCTCAAGTGCTAACTTAATAACCGATTCACCTGAAAATGATAATGCAAATGATTATACAGAACTTGTATAATTGATTGTTGCAGTTAAACCCTAGAGTAAATGATGGGTTTGATAAATGATAATCTAAATAGGAGCACAACAACTAAGGTACATGAATATTATTATTATTATAATCCTTTATTTTAAAAAAATGCAGAATCTTTACAAACATTCTAATATTTATATTGTTTTTTGGACATAAACTAATTATATAGTGCATTAATAATCACCATCTGCTTCTTTAGTATTCTATTTTTGAATTTGTGTTTTAGAATTCAGCAAATCTCATATCGTTATAGAAAAAATTACATGTAATTCACATATGGATCACATGTAAATCATAAACGAATCACATATGAATTACATGTGATTCACATGTGAATCACAAGTTATTCACATATAAATCACGAGTGAACTACATATGAATCACATGTAATTCACATATAAAATCATATGTAATTCACATATAAATCACAAGTGAATCCCATATGAGTTACATATGAATTACATGTGATTCACATGTAAATAACATGTAACTCACATATGAATCACATGTAAATGACACGTAATTCACATATAAATCACATGTAAATCTTATATGATATATGCATGTGCATTTTTGTAAGTGTTCTTGCATTAATCAAATTTTTTTTAATTTTCTTGTAGATTTGAAGAATTTGTGGAAAATATTAAAGATGTGAAAAGTGATAAATTAAAGAAAATATGAAAATCTTGATATGAAGAAATGATAACATTGTGAATCTTCATAACATTTTTGATTTTTTATATTTTATTTTGTATCGAATAAAATACTTGTACTATTATGTACTGTTATTTTTTATATTTTATTTTGTATCGAAGAAAATATGAAAATATTGATATGAACAAATGATAACATTGTGAATCTTCATAATATTTTTTATTTTTTATATTTTATTTTGTACCGAATAAAATACATGTACTATTATGTTTATAGATTGATTAATAAAAAAGAGTTTTTTTTATGATTTACTTACGAATATTATAGTATAAGAAATATGCATATATTCATTTGCAAAAAATATGCATATATGCACCTAAAATGTTTTTTTGTTAAAAAATTAGAGTTTTTTTTTTTTTTTTTTTTTATTTATTTATTTATTTTTTTTTAATATTCTAGTTTTTATTTATTTATAAATTTATTGATTTTTAAAATTTATATTTTTTTTAAAAAAATTTTATTATAAAAAAAAAAGTTTCTTTTGAAAAAGTTGCATTTTTTTTAAATTGTAGTATTTTAGAAAAAAATTTAGTTTTTTTTTGAAAAAATTACATTTCTTTAAATTATTGTTTTATTAAAAAATTTGTAGTTTTTTTAAATACATATTTTTTTTCAAAAAAAAATTAAAGTTTAAAAAAAATTTAATTTTTTAAAAATTTATGCTTTCCAAAAAAGTTTAAAAAATCAACAGCTAAAAAAAATCGAAGATTATTATTTTTTTATAAAAAAAATCCAAAAATTTGTTTTATAATTTTAATTTGAGAGCATTTTATGAATATTTCCAATAATACAAAAAATTAAGTGGGATTTGAATGATGACGATCATGCCTTTAATTATTTTATTTTGATCCAACACTCCATCTTTAATTCTTAGGTTCTCTGAAAACTATGGGTTCTCAAGGAATTTCACCTATATATATAGGGTTAAGTTCAAATGAGAACACTATTTAATGTGAGAACGTGAGAACACTACTTTATGTTATTATTCTACTATAAATTTTGTATATACAACGATATGACATTATTCATCAACAAATATACGAACAATCACACATTAATATTCACATTAAAATTTTGTATGTACAACTTTATGATATTATTCATCACCGAATATATGAATAATCACATATTTAACATTCACATTAGAATTTACTGAATTAGTACACATATATATATAAATTTTATAGTAGAATAGTTATATAAAATTGAATATATTCATATTATAATTACTACAATACTATACATATTAAATTTATAGTAGAATAGTAACATAAAGTAGTCTTCTCACGTTATCACATTAAATAGTGTTCTCATTTGAATTTAACCCTATATATATATATATATATATATATATATATATATATATATATATATATATATATATATATATATATATATATATATATATATATATATAGGGTTAGGTTCATTTGAGACCACCTATATTTTGTGAGACCGTGAGACGCATTTTATTTTTATTTTTTTTATTTTTATTTTTTTTAGTTAATTCATGTTCCGAAAATAATATTTAAAAAAAGAATTTTTTGATTTTTCCATTTATTTTGCATTTTAAAATTATTTTTAGAATATGTGCAGTGTAATATTCTATTTAGAATATTTCACGTATTTTAAAAAAAAAATAGAATTTTTTTTATTTTATTTTTATTTTTTTAGTTAATTCAAGTTCCGAAAATAATATTTAAAAAAAGAATTTTTAGATTTTTCCATTTATTTTGCATTTTAAAATTATTTTTTAGAATATGTCAGTGTAATATTCTATTTAGAGTATTTCACGTATTTTTCAAAAAAAAAAACGAAATTTTTTTTATTTTTTTATTTTTTTTTATATAATTTTATATTTTTTTTAGTTAATTCAAGTTTCGAAAATAATATTTAAAAAAAGAATTTTTGGATTTTTCCATTTATTTTGCATTTTAAAATTATTTTTAGATTTAATCTCACGGTCTCACAAAATTAAAATGGTTTCAAATTAACCTGAAAATATATATATATATATATATATATATATATATATATATATATATATATATATATATATATATATATGCTCCGCCCTAGCCACAAGCAAAAAGACGATGAACAATACAAGAAAAAAAAAAGTAAAAATGATATTTTAAAATATCAGGCATGTTCTTTTTCATTCATAATCAGCCCAAAAATGGATGGATGTTTTCGAGGCCGAAAGTCGTTAAATTTATTCCTTCTAATCCTTTTACTTCTTTTACTTTTTAGAACCGGTAAATATTATTAAGAAAACCACCGTCCTAGCAAGACGTTCTAATCCTTTTACTACCTTTCCTGAAGAACACTATTATCCCTTTAAATCCTTTCATTCTATTCCTTAAAAAAACTAAAAAAACCAGGTGTATATTCATGATCTCAGGGTCAATTTATATTTTTATGTATCTCGTATGCAGTTTCCTCAGTTTCATAGTCGATCATCCAACTTCACGAAAACAATCATCAAATAACTCGAAACGATTCTCGAAAAAAACATGGATCATAACCATCAAGTAAACGACGCTAAAAGGCCTCTCGATCCAACCTCATGTAGTTACATAAAATCAGTCATTTTTATTTTCTTCTAGTAATTTGTTTTCTTCTTAATTAAATATATATTATTAATATTTATTACTATTTATCGATCAAAAAGAATTCCCTTGGTATTTTAGGATAATATGACTAATCCTTCATTGGCTATTTCAACTCGTAGTGAGCACGTACATATGTTGCAGCTGGATAACAAGCTCAGAATAGATCGACACGAATGACTTAATCCCCATCTTTTTAAAACGTTTATCTTCCTGATCTCAGGGTCAACTTATACAGTTATACTCCATATATCGTATGCTGTTTCCACAGTTTCATAGTCCATCACCCAACTTCTTCACGAAACAATCATCAAACAACTCCAACTCGAAAAGAAATGGAGAACAACCATCAAGTAACCGACGCCAAAAGCCCCCTCCAACCTCATGTATTAATCTTTTCGCTACCATTTCAAGGACCCGTTAACTGTGCTCTAAAGTTAGCCGAACTCTTATGTCTTTCCGGCATCCATGTCACCTTCCTGAACACCGAGCACATCCACCGCCCTCTTCTCCTCCATACCCACGTCGTATCACGATTCAACCGCTATCCAAACTTCCGATTTGAGACAATCCCTGATGGAGTTGAGCATGAAAAACCTGTCTCCGCTGACCGGTTCATGGAGGTGATGGAAGGTATAGATACTGTGACTAGACCCCTTTTCCGGGAGATGATGATTTCCGGTAGCCTGAGTTCGCGATCGGTGCGGCCGGTGACGGTGATGATACTTGATGCTTTCTTGAGTTTTGGTTTGGATGTAGCTATCGAGACGTCGATTCCTGTGGTTTTCTTCGAGACGGTAAGTCCATGCTTCTTGTGGACTTCTTGCTTGAATCTTCCTACACTTATTGAATCTGGGGAAGTTCCCTTCCAAGGTATGTATCCTCTTACTCGGTTGCGTCATGAACAGGTACTCTTATTGTTTATTTATTTTTTAAGTATATTGAATGAGTGTCGTATTTTGACAAGTATGGCATAAGAAGACAATTCTTTTGAGCTTTTTGTCACATAAAGTTGCTTCAAGTTTAATATTATTTGTATACTCTATCTCTATGTACCAAAACTTGTTCCACATCGAACTTGATAATTAGGAACAAAGTGCTTTTATTGGAAAATTTACAATATATATATATATATATATATATATATATATATATATATATATATATATATATATATATATATATATATATATATATATTCAGGTTTTGTGAGATTGTGAGATCAAATTTAAAAATAATTTTAAAATGCAAAATAAATGGAAAAATCTAAAAATTCTTTTTTTAAATATTATTTTCGGAATTTGAATTAACTAAAAAAACTAAAAAAAAAAATTAAAAAAAATCCTTTTTTTTTTTTTTTTTTTAAATACGTGAAATATTCTAAATAGAATATTACACTGACATATTCTAAAAATAATTTTAAAATGCAAAATAAATGGAAAAATAAAAAAATCTTTTTTTAAATATTATTTTCGGAACTTGAATTAACTAAAAAAATTAAAAAATAAAAAAATACGTCTCATGGTCTCACAAAATTAGGCCGTCTCACATGAACCTAACCCTATATATATATATATATATATATATATATATATATATATATATATATATATATATATTTTAAATTCTCTTCTAGAAAATAGCTAAAAAAAATCCAAGATTGTAAAAATAGCCATTGAAATTACAGATGGATTATGATCATTTGCGATTTTGTCTTCTAATCTACGAACATACAAGTTGTTAAAATAGACTCGTGCAGTAGGGAATTGTACGTTTGGAGATGAACGCAGAACATGAAAGACCATGTATAATTTTAGCTTTTTTAGGGTATAAACAGCTTGATTTTTTGAAGCAATCATTTTTTTTATTTATGTTAGGGAAAACCTCTTGTACGGACTTTTCTAAGTGAAAACATAAAATAAATTTTTTTACGTACAATACAAAGATACAACATGAAGATGTATCAGAAATTAGTTTTATAACACAAATCATATTTCTATAACAACTGTCTAACATATTTACATAATAATTGCATTAAAAATCAATTGGCTATAAATATAAAGTATAAAAACCGAATGTACAACCTCACAAATACAAAGGTACGACTTCAAGATGTATCAGATATCAGTTTTTTTAACACAAAACATATTACCATCACATTTCTATAAGATAGCTCCATTTGAGAGACTTTTTTCCAAAAAATATTAAGAAAAATAAGTGCTCCAAAAAAATTAAGGTATTTATACCCTAAAAAAGATAAAATCATAGATGGTTCAATGTTCACAGATGGACAGATCCATCTACGAACGTACAACTCGCTTATGCACGACATCACTTTAACTACTTGTATGTTGGTAGATGAGAAGACAAAATCGTAGATGATTCTAGTCCATTTGCGATTTTAGTGATTGTTTTTGTAATTTTATGTTTTTTTTGCTATTTTCTGCAAATGAATTAGAAAAATAACTATTTTTTTTTTTGTAATTTTCTCGCTTTTATTTATGTTTGGTTTAATAGTTAATTACTAGTTTTTAGATTGATATAATTCTGCTAGTTTAATGTTCCATGTTAATCAGGGACAAATTACTTTTATTTATGTTTGGTTCAATGGTTAATTACTAGTTTTTAGAGCATCCATATTATTCTGCCAATTTAATGGAAGTTTTGAATGAAGTAAAAAACTAGTTGACATCAAATAAACATGGAGTTAATAACCAACTCTTCAATATGAAAAAAAAAAAAAAAAAAAAGATTTGTTGAGGATATTCCCTTTTGGAGTAGTGGGTAGACGGTATTTCACTATTTCCTTTTGGAGTAGTGCTCCAGGTTCGATCCATGACCGGTCCAATGATTTAATAGGCTCAATATGAAAAAAAAAAAAGCTCCTAAAGTTGTAAATATTATATATATATATATATATATATATATATATATATATATATATATATATATATATATATAAACAAGAAATAATGTGAGAATGTAAAAACACTATGTTTATGTTATTATTCTAAAATGAATATTCTATATGTTTATTATTGAAGTAATTATAATATAAATATTAATGTTTGATTATTCATATATTCATTAGAATGTTATAGTTTTATTATAAATTTATGTATGTGTATTTTTGTACTAAATTTTAATTTTAATTTTAACATGTGACTATTTATTAATTCATTGTTGAATAATGACATAAATCTGTTGATACAAAATTCATTGCAGAATAATAACATAAAGATAATGTTTTTACGTTCTCACACCATTTGTTGTTTTTATTTGAATTGTCCCCTGGTAACTAATTAATAAGTATAAATTTAGCCAAAGTATCCGAAACTTTATATATGATTTATTAAATCATATCATATGATATAATAACTACTTATACTTTCTTTAGTTATTATTTTCACAAAAATAATAATTATTCTCTAATTTAATATAAGAGTTGATATTAGTTATTAATAATCATATTAATAATAAATATACAAAATGTGTAAACTTGATAAATATGTAACCATATATGATCATATGTTTTTAGTAATATCACTAAATAATGAATTTTGAACATATAAATCCAACACATAATATAAACATAAATTAAACGTTTTAACTATAAAATATTATAAATGCTTAATTTCTAAATTATACGAAGTTCAACTTTTATTTTCATCTATTCGACTTCAAATAATGATTACTAACCCACATTTTTTTAGAAATAAAACATAATTAAAATATATTAATCAATTAAATAATAAATAAATAAAAGACAAAATTTCACAAATGATCCTTACGGTTTTAAATTTGTCCCCTCTTTATGAAACTTTTTTGCATGAACGGTACCTTTCGACAAAAACTTTGCACTACAATGGTGGGCGTAATTCTTTATTTATTTATTTATTTATTTATTTATTTATTTTTTAATTTTAAGTTAAGAAGGTATTAAAATGAATATAAAAAATAAAAACAAATGATATTTTCATCATTTTACAATCGTCTAACAAAATATGTTAACAAAATTACCTATAAAAACCACTGGCATGCAAAATTTTGTAAAAGGGACCATAAGGATAATATCGGGGACAAATATAAAACCATAAAGGATCATTTGTGAAATTCTGTCTAAATAAAAAATTAAAATATATTTTGAATATTCAAAAGAGTTAGCGGGTTGCAAGTAGGTTGAAAATTTCAATCATGACAAACCCATTTAATTAAATATGTTAGATGGAATCACTCATTTATTATGTGAGTTGAAAATATCAACCAAACATGTTAATTACTTTACTGGGTTGAGTTTGGTTTTGGATTAGCAAATTTGGGTTAAGATTGTCATTTCTATTCGCTATATAGCCTTTCAATATTATTGTTGCCGTTCTACAAAAGATTGTTTTCTATTTTTCAAAATCAATACATGTCTTTTTAAAGGTGTTTTAATGGACAACAAGATTTATAAGTGACTTTTCAAAAAGCAAAATTTATAAAAGAATCACTACAGCTTTAACACTTTCTGTAAAAAGGCTGTAAAAATTTTAAAGTATATAATGTATAGTAGGGAAAAATAACACTTTTATGAAGTATGTTGATATAACTACGTAAAACTGCTTTCAAAAATTTAATACTACGTCTACTAAAAATGTTGCATAGTCATGAAATTAACTTAAAGTCAATAAGAATCATTTTCATCATAAGTTCGATTTGCATGAGTATGTTTTGTCACTTTTACTTATAGCTTCAGCGGATCTCTAACTATGTTGAGACATAACTATGAAACTATATTGAAGATGTCAAGTAGCCTCAGACTTAGAATAAGTTCAAAAAAACTTTTGAAACTTTTAAGTAGTATTAAATTATTAAATATTTATGGTAAGATGATTGTGAATATGAGTCTAACATTTCTATAACTATTCAATCTTAATGAAAACTTTTTCATAATTATCTATATGCTATCATTATAGAGGTTGCTTCAAAAATGACTTCACTAAATCTTTTTATAATAATACGATACACTTAGTATGTTACAACTAAAACAATGTAAAGAATCACATATGATGTGAATTGGAAAGAGCTCTATTGCATTAGTATATCTTAGCAGAAGGATTAATTCAAATTAATGTGTTATTAATATTTTTTAATGATGTTTTAATAATATGCATGATAATTAGTTTGAATTAATTATATAATTTTTTTTTCTTAGAATGGTTTAATAATATAATTCTTGAATCAAATTTGTAAAAAGCTAATAATTATATAAGAGTTTTCTTTAAATCTTTATAAATTAAAAAATAATTTATATAAAAAACTACACAATTTTAACATAAATACGATGTATTGATGTTGTTAATGGCTTCTAAATTTGATAAGTATAAAACTAAAATAGTGTTTGAAAATGTCTTTTATTTCTCTTCAGGGGGTAATTTAGATGAGCTTATAAAAAGTGTGCCAGGATCTGAACATATTATACGGAGACGAGATCTTGCAAGCTTTTGTCGTAGCGATGACTTGTCTGAACCCATTATTGATCTCCTCTTGAATGAAGCTCGAACTATTCCTCAAGCTCAAGGTTTCATACTCAACACGTTTGAAGAGTTGGACTCTCTCATATTACCACACATGCGAAAACTTTGTCCAAACATTTATCCCATAGGCCCATTGCACTCTCTCCATAAAGCTCGCCTTAAGGAGAAGATGACATTGATGTCCCCAAAAACAACTTTTTCGAACAGTATTTGGAAGGAAGATAGAACTTGCGTATCGTGGCTTGATAAACAAGCTCCAAAAACCGTTCTTTACGTCAGCATTGGAAGTCTAGCCACCATTACAGTAAATCAACTACTAGAAATATGGCATGGTGTGGTAAATAGTGGGAAACCTTTTTTATGGGTAAGACGCCCAGGGTCAATCATAGGTGGGTACGAAGAATCACAAATCCCGTCTGAACTGCTAGAGTATACAAAAGAAATTGGATGTATCGTAGATTGGTCGCCACAAGAACATGTCCTCGGTCACCATGCTGTTGGTGCATTTTTAACACATAGTGGGTGGAACTCGACTATTGAGAGTATAGCTGAGGGGGTTCCCCTGATTTGTTGGCCTTACTTTTCCGACCAACAAGTGAATAGTCGCTTTGTGGGAGAAGTATGGAAGCTTGGAATAGACATCAAAGATACTTGTGATCGATTAATTATTGAAAAGGCAGTGAAGGATGTCATGGAAACGGGAGGAAACATATTTAGACCGTGTGTTGATGGTTGGAAAATTTTGGCGAAAGAGTCGGTAACTGAGATGGGGTCGTCGTCTATGAATTTTGATCGTTTGATCAATGATATAAGGGTAATGAGTTCGGCCACAAAGTTATCAGGTTGATGTGTATCGTTGGATCATATGATATTGATATAAGTCTTTATTTGACATCTTTAGCTATCAAAATGAAATAATAATGTAAATTTGACTTTCAATAATTATATATCCCTAAAAGAAATTTGGCTATTATCGGCGTCGCAGCTAAAGGTCATGTCGCCGCTATTGGTATCACTGGTAAGACCTACCTATCCGAATTCGCATTTTCACGTTCCGGTGAACGCCAACCGTTTGATCATTTTTGTAATCCAATGGTTGAGAAACTCATGGAACTGACAAAACCAATAGTGGCGACAGCTAAAGGCCTAAAATTGTCGCCGCTAAAGGTCGAAAAAAACGTGCCTTTTTTTTCCTTCTATGTATGTCGCCGCTAAAGATTGGATGTCACCGGTATTGATTCTTTTGTCGCCGCTAAAGGTTGAAAAAAATGCACTTTCTTTTCCCTCTATGTATGTCGCCACTAAAGATTGGATGTTGTCGGTATTGATTCTTTCGTCGCCGCTAAAGGTCGACGCAGATTACACCCACTTGCTTCCTTTTTCTATTTCGATCTGGCTCTCATTTTGTTTCATTTTCTCGATCATTTGCTCCGACGATTCTCCCTATTTAACAACATATAGTAGAAGAGATACTACCGGCCATCGAAAACTTCGCCTCTCCGACCACCGACACTGTTGCTGTTGTCGATTTCCTTCTCCCGGGTTCGTGTTTCCTTCTTCATCTCTTCCTTTCTTTCTATTTTAATGTTGATTTCCATAAGAATTTATGATTAATTGCATTTTTGTTTCAAAAAGCTCTTTTCCTCTCCGGTCACCACCACTACCGTCGGTTGTTGTTGTCCCCGACATCAACTACCATCACTACCGCTGCAACACCGAAGACTACCACCACCAGTTGAAAGAGGGAAAAGTTTTTGGGAACCACAGGTGCATTTTTAAAATTTTTTTTTGTATTTGTGCATTTGTGTGTGTATTTTGTATATATGTGTGTGTATTTCATATATTTGTGTGAAATATGTTATATGTGTGTGTATTTCACATATATGTGTGTGAGAATTGTGTGTATTTCATATATGTGCGTGTATAAAAAATACGTGTATGTGTATAATGTATGTATGTATGTATGTATTTGTATGCAATTTGGATTGTGTTCATGGTTGTTTAATGTGTATAGAAAGTATGTATATATATGTGTATGATGTATGTATGAGTGTATTTATGTGGAATTTGGAGTGCGTTGATGGTTGTTTTATGTGTATAAAAAGTATGTATATATATGTATAACGTATGTATGTGTGTATATGTATGCAATTTGGAATGTATTTGTATACAATGTGTAAACTACTATGTCAATATGGAAAAAAAGAAACAAAAAACAAGTATGACGCTAATATTGAAATGTTATTTAAAGTAAATTTCTATAATAGTTCCTATTTAATATGGATTTGTAGATAAATTGGTAATTATTAGTTTGTTGGTTTGTTAGTTTGATCGTTGGTTTAACTTATATGGTTAATGTTAGTTAGTTGGTTTGTTAATTTGATAGTTTGTTGATATATAGATAAATTGGTAATTGTTAGTTTTCTTATCATTTGGTAATTTTTAGTTTGGTTTAAGTTAATAGGTTAACTTACAAGTTTATATGTTGTTATTTACTATGTAGTTGGAGAATATTCAATTAATGTCTAAGGATCTGGAGTCAACTGTGGAACTTATAGGATGGAACAACCGTGGCGGGGATGATGACACATCATATTAGTTTTATCTTTTATTAGAGATTGTAGTATGACATAAATTTATAAGAATTTTGTTATTTATTTTGGTGTATGTATGATATTATAAAACTTGGATGTTATGTAATCATTTTTTTGCATTTAATGTACCGATTTTTCTGCATTTAACGTTATTACGTATCGGTTTTTGGATAGCCGAGAATGTCTGCTTTAAAAAAAAAAAAAAAAAAAAAAGCAATAGTGGCAACGCTATTAGCGGTGACATATGACATTAGCGGCGACAAGTATTATTAGCAGCGACACGTAGCATTACCGATGACTTTTGGAGTAATAGCGACAAGACAGTAGCGGCGACCCATATCTAGACCAGCGGATGAAATTAATCAATGAACATGATTTGAGAGTATATGATATTACAATGGGATAACATGTAGCATATAATAACACAAATTTTAGCAAAATATTGTATTTGGGACAATTAACTACATTTATAAAAGAAACTTTTCGGATTTTTAGGGATAAATTATTCTCCTAATTTTAAAATTTTGAATTTTTTTAATTAATTCAAGTTTAATTCTAACGTAATTTGTAAACATAACCGATTTTATTCTGAATCTGAGGTTGAAAAATAACAACATTCTAATATATTCTTATACATCCGAACTTAAATAAAAATTCATACATATTCTTACAGACTAAAAGTCTTATACATTTATATATATATATATATATATATATATATATATATATCGATAGGTTCAAATGTTTTTGACAACTATTGTGTGCCTGTGTGCACCAATAGGAATTTAGGAATAATTAAATAATTAAAAATTGTAATAAGGGTAATTATGTAATTTTAGCATGCTAATTAAAATAAAACCCCTTAATTCATGGAAATTGCCATAAAAATCTGTTTGACCAACTATTTAACCCTAGCCTTCTATATCATACGTAATATGCCTCCTCCAATTTGCTTATGGACGAATGAACATCGTCTGATCAAAAGAGGTAGTCAAACCTCTTGCTGGAAATTTGTTTCCCCATTCCATTGATTAAGAAGATGTTATTCTCGGTGGCTCCATCTCTAATCGAAGCTAGCTTCAACATCAAGGCAATTTTGGAGTCACAAGAAGCCGGTGTATGTTTCTGCATCATTGTTACAGTTCCTTCGATGATCGGTTCTTTAGAGCTTTTCCAAATCGAGCAAACTTCGTATGCCCTTATTTATCCGGTAACAACTCTTCAATTCTCATTAATTATGGATCGTTAACTTGTGATTCAAATTATCTATTTCTATTGTTCGCTGAATTGGATGGTTAAGTAAGGGAAAACCTAACGTGTTCAAGAAGAACGAGCTATGCACATAAGGTGCTCGACTAAATTCCTGAAAGAAGGACTCTGTCTTAGTGAATTGTTGGTGGAATTGAAAATATCCCGATTTGCACACCAACTGTTTGTTAAAATGTCTCAGTGAACTTCAGTTACTTATTCCAAAATTTGTTCTTTCTTGCTTAATGAGTCACTTTCAGTTAGAAGGAAGCATAGAAAAAGATGTTAGTTCGTATGGTTCCAGCTCTTGTATCAGGGCCTTATAATGTAAGTAACATTCTTTATTCACGTGTTCAAGTTGATGAGTTTCAATTTCTTTTATGTGGATGCTCTTCTTTCTTACAAAATAGTGTCTTCAAATCTTATATGAAAACCACATTTCTATGCTTTAATGGGTCTGCCATATATTTTGTTTTTCTTTCGGTTATGAAATACAATTCTAGGTTGTTTGTGCCTTTTTATTTTTCATCAACACAAATTAATTTACTCTTTGAACCTTGTGGTATGCATTCTAAATCATGTTGCTGGAAATTATGTTTATATGTAAACTATTGCATGTAAATCAAATATGGTTTTTGGCTTGTTTGATGATAATGTCTAACAAGTGTTTGTTGAAATGCCTGAAAGAGTATTTAAAGAATTTAACCTTGTGGTATGCATTCTATCAGAATTACTAGCTGTAAATACAATACCTTTGAATGTATCCTATATATTCTATCAGAATAAAATCGATGTATTCTGCCAGAATGTATTATATGTATTATATCATATTCTATGTATTCTACCATAATATATTAAGTGATAGATAATTGTAAGTAACATGTTTTTAACAAGTATTACTTTTTGTTGTATTTGTGATAGGAATGGCTGGAAAAAGGCGTTGAAGACGTTGATATTTTTTTAGAATATGTATAATTATATTAGAATGTAAGAATATGTATGAATTTGTATTGAGTTTGGATGTATAAGAATATATTAAAATTGATTCAAAAATTTTGTTTTTCTTCAATAATATTCTATTAGAATAAAATTCTGAAAGAGCATCATTCTAACAAATAATATTCTGACAAAATAAAATCAGTAAAAAATTGAAATTGAATTAATTAAAAAATTCAGATTTTTTTAAATTAGGAGAATTAATCATCCCTAAAAATCCGAAAATTTCCTTTTATAAATGTAGTTAATTGTCCAAAATACCCTTTTACTTAAAATTGTGTGATTATATACTATATGTTACCCCATTGTAATATCATACACCCTCAAATCATGTCCATTGATTAATTTCATCAATTGGTCAAGATTTGTGCATTCTGACACACAATACTTAGTAAAAACAAAATAACCTAAGCATATATATATATATATATATATATATATATATATATATATATATATATATATATATATATATATATATATATATATTTAAAGCATAAAATGGTTATAAACAGTAAATTTATAGCTTTTTTTTTGACTCTTTTGCCTCAAATGTTTTATTGTTGGCATTTTTTCCCTAAGCTTTTTGTTTTTTACTTTTTTTTCTCAATTCTCTCCCTCGGTTTTTGCTTTAAACCATTCCAATTTCTTTTATTTTACATAAAGGGTCCTTTAGTTTTGTTGAATCTGACTTTTTTGGTCTACTTTTGTTTTTTATACATATTAAAGATTTTTGTAATGTTTTCTGTGAGAGAATTGACTTATTTTACATAAATGGTCTTTAGGTTTTGTTGAATTTGACATTTTGGTTCATTTTTTTTTTTATATATATCTTAAAGATTTTTTTTTAAGGAAATGGCTTAATTTACATGAATGACCCCTAGATTTTGTTGAACTTGACACTTTTGGTTCGATTTTTGTTTTAAAGAAAAATGTTTTGGGCGAATCCCGAATCACCTACTAGTTTTAATATAATTATACATATTCTAAAAAAATATCAACAAAAATGAATAAAATTCTTAAAAATTAACAACATTTTTAAATTGTGAGTATGATCAAACTTTATTCATTCTTCAAGTTATTCGTATTACTTGTAATTAACTATCACTTTATATATTCTGGTAGAATAAATATAATATGACAGAATACATAAAATACATTTGGCAGAATACATAGATTTTATTTTGGCAAAAAACATAAATTACATTCAAAAGTATTGTATTTACTACTACTATAATTTTAGATTCCAAATATACAATAACGAAGGACAATAGAAATTGGAATTCAAAATCACAAGTTGAACCAAAATAATACACAAACAAATTAATTACCTTTTTAAACAATTACATAAAACATGTGTTGCTGGTAATTCTGACAGAATGCATACCACAAGGTTAAATTTTTTAGATTCTCTTTCAGGTATTTCAACAAATACTTGTTAGACATTATCATCAAACAAGCCAACTTTAGAACAATCAAGTATCAAGAACAAATGGAAAATCAAGAACAGTCAAGTATCAAGAACAAATGGAAAATCAAGAACAATCTATTATTATTTAAGTCAGATTATAAATTACAAAATCAACCTGAATGATGGATATTTAAAATTAAAGAAGAATGAGAGCAAAGTGGGTATACTAGTGAAATCGGAAATCAACAGGAAGGATAATCGGAAATCAAAGAATCGAAAATCAGTGAATAAATCAAATAAAAAATTGATGTGAAGAATCGTAACTGTGACATCCCCAATTTCACGGCTAGAAAATGCCGATTTGTTTATACTTTGTTTTATAAAATCAGTGTAATCTTTTGATTAAAAGAGTTGCGAAATTTGTTCCCAAAACAAAATATGATAAAAATTTATCAAAACATTTCTTAAAGAAAATGTATTTTCATTAAATAACAAAATCTCGGGATGTAATGTTCCGATACAGACCAAAAGCATTAACAGTACTAAATAGACCTTACAATACTTATTTACAACTACTGATCTATATCCAAAATATCTTGATAAGTCATCAAACTTATGCACTTGTGTCACTACCTGTAATACAAAGAAAAACTGAGTGGGTCAGGCTTGGGATCCTGGTGAACATAGAGGGTTTTCAACCCACAAAAATATAATTATTATATTCAATCATCAAACAATCAAACCAATTACTCATCCCCATTATTTCATTTAATTCTTAAGAATTTACCCTAAGAATCAATTGTCCTTCACTCGTTCATTCCTAAGGATTGACTTAAGGAATTGCACAAAGTTCATTGCTAGCTGAGGTTCATACAACTACGATTGGCAATGGGGCGGGTTTGGGGCGGGGCATGGATTCCCAAACCCGCCCCGATAACTTTCGGGTATCTTATCGGGGCGTTCCATTGGGTTTCGGGTTTCCCCATCGGGTTTCAGGTATCTTATCGGGTTTACAACAACTGATAACGAAATCTTTATTCTCTTTTAGGGTACCCCAATGTCTTATAAAATATACATGTTCTAGCAACTCTTTTAAATTAAAAACATGATGCATCACTTTAATAAAATAAACTGGACGTTATATAAAAGATTATTTGATTTAAGTTTTGTTTAATACGTCAAAACACATAAAAATGATCATTAACACCAGATTGTTAATAACTAAAAAAATTGTCCATGATAAGTATTTTATATTTGAACGTGTACAATTAACAGCAAAATTTTTTGAACATATATATATATATATATATATATATATATATATATATATATATATATATAATCGGGGCG